AACAGAATATTTAAGATGAGTATCCCAGTCTGAAATAGTCTCGTTTAGGTATGCACGTATGTATTCATTAAAAACGGGATAGTTTCGTTCAATTGTGCCCCCTGTTTCGTGATGATGTGCTGTCGAAAAGTTATGATCAATTTTTAAAAGTTTTGTTAGTTCCGAAAATATTTCGTTTTTTTATTCAGTCCCTAAACTGATCTGATGGAATTCATTATGCCGTATACTAGTATGCAACTCTCAAAAATAGCAGAAGCGATAGTTTTGGCGCTGTTGTCTGTAACAGCAACGGTTACCAGATACTTTCTCAGATCGCAAATCCTATTGTATCAATTATCACTATTTCAAAAGGTTTGTTTGGTGTTGGCGTTAAAACAAGGTTCTCTTTTACTTTCGGGTTTGCCTTGTTTAGTAAAAAATTTTCACAATTTTTGACGAACTTTTATATATCACAGGTCATGTTTTTCCAAAAATATTTTGTACGTCGTTACATAGATCGTTATGGTCGTTATGATAGATTGTCATAATTTGGCGTGTTTTTCGTCGTTAGTCACAGTTTCAACAGGATCTGTCAATATAATTTGTAAGGTTTTTTAAAATTTTATTTCCGTGATCTTTTAAGTTTGAAATTGGAAGGTATTAAAAAAAGTAATATTTGGTTACGATTGTTGTCTACGACTTCAAGCCGCGAAAGTAACTCATCGAAATTCGGGGTTTCGTTAGCAATCGTAAAATTAAGTAACTCGATTTTTTTTTTTGTTTTAAGGGTGCACAAACTTGAAAATTTGATATTTTATTATTTTTACCATATATAATATTTGTTTTCACCCGAGGTATTTTTTTGAGAAGTTATATGAAAATTTGTCGTAAACCTGTAACGTAATATTGCCATTGCATTCATTATCATACTCTAGTTGTGTCTGCTTCGTTTTTTACCGCTAAAACTTGTTTATTAAAGTCTTTTAGTTCGTTCATTGTAATCCGTGACAATGCGTCCGCTCCGACATTGGTTTTGCCTTTTATCTACTCAATTGTGAAATCGTACTCTGATTTCACCGTATAGTGAGTGCGGTAAACATACGGTCGAAACTGCTTGATCGCAAAATATATAGCTAAATAAAAGTTAAAGTTCGATAATCGGTTTATTCTGTTCTGCTTTATTGAAAGATTTAGAAGCGAAGCATATTGGTAAATCATTTCCATCATGGTTTCGGCTTAATCCAATTTTCGAGGCATCGACAGTAATAATAAATTGGTTTGTGAAGTCTGGGTATTGTAGCAAATTTTGGAGAAATTGACGCTGATTTTAAAGATTCAAAAGCTTTGTCGAACGCACTGTCCCAAATAAATTCAACTTTTTTTCTGGCTAATTGATTTAAAGGCGCTGCCAGAGCCGCAAAAGTTGTAAACCGCCAGTAATAATTTGCAAACGCGACGAAACGTCGAGCCGCATCCTCGTCAGTCGGGTTTGTATATTTTTTAACAGCGTTTGTTTTGGTGTCGTCTGGCAATAGACCTTTGGCTGAACATTTATGTCCTAGGAATGTAACTTTTGGCCGAACAAAATTGCATTTATTCGTTTTAAATTTTTGGGTTGAAGGCACTACATGTATTGAAAACTTTGGACAGATTTTTGATGTGATGCACTTCACTACAACCAATAACGATTAGATCGTCAACGTGAAGAAATGCCACATTGGGCGGAATACCGGAAAAGGAATTGTCATCATACACGAAAAAGAGTTTGGTGCTACGTTTAACTCAAACGGTAATACCTTCCATCTAAATGCTCCTCGGTCGGTACTGAAAGAGGTTATGTCACGTGAATCAACATGTAAGGGGATTCGATGATACCCTGAAAAAAGGTCTAAGGTTGAAAAATACTTCGCTCGGCCAAGGTTGTCTAAAATGTCGTCTACTCGCGCAAGAGGGATCTTATCGGCAATCAATTTCTTGTTAACAGCACGGAAGTTTACGCACAGGACTATTATATAATAACTTGTTAACTTGGCGATTTATTTCTTCACGCTGGCAATATGGTAATCGGTAGAATAAAATATATAGACAACAATATTTCTCAAGCGAAACTAAAACAAGCAAGCCTTCAGTGGGTTATAGGACACAAATCTCAATTAAGCGTAGATAACAAGGTGTTGATTTTTAATATGATGATTAAACCATGTTGGGCATATGGAATCGGGCTTTGGGGCACAGCGTGCAATTCCATTTTGAACAGACTTAAAAGACTGCAGTCGAAAGTTTTACGCGAAATTTGCGGGGCACCGTTGTACATAAAAATTACGAATATCCAGAAAGATCTTAATACAAATACGGTGCATGAGGACATACGAGGGCTAAGCAACAGTTACTCAGCACGGTTAATGAACGATCCAAATCGACTAGCGAGAGGTCTTCTTAGCCCGAGATATGCAAGAAGACTAAAAATAAATGATTTTTCCGATATTATCAAATGAAGTCGTCCTTTCAGACCGCCTGCCCAGTACGATATCCAGCGATCCTGCTGCTCGGAATCTTGTCCATTCCGACAGCCGCAACAACTGCAATAAATATATATGTAAAAAATACAAAATTTCAAAGCATTGCCGCGGAAATTTTAAATTTAATGGTAGTTTGTAAGATTTGAAAACTTTTTGTTAGTTTCGAAAGAAAGATTCAATAAATAAATACATATTAGCTGCATTTTTTTGTAAGCGAGCGACAAAAGAACGCTCTACTCGGGTAAAATTTCCTTTTAGCTACCTAAGCATCCCTGTTGGTAGCTGGCAAGAAACATGTGATTAGTTTAACGGAATTTAGATACAAAAACCAATTTAAATGAGTAATTATGCGAGGTATTTGCGTAATATATATACTTATTTAAAATATAAGTCTCGTATATAAGGAAACAAAAATTTTCCTCTCCACTTTGCCATTAACAACTCTCAATAGAGCAGTTTTTTCACTTAACAACACTACCCTTCAGGTCGCGTATTTTTTAACCGACCTGGCTGAACTCGGATAAATAGCTGAGATTGTGTTGTTGCTTTGCGTGTATTTCGTCATTTAAGGCTGTGTTCTTTTGTAGCTCGGTTGCAAAAGAATGCACTTATTGTTCCAAGAAAAAAATATATAAAAATTTTTGCGATGTTGCTTTGACTAGGGCTTGAACCCAGGCTCTGCGAAGTCATAGCGCGCACTGCTAACCATTACACCACAGCGACCGCCCAATTACTTGGACATTAAAAAGCAGTTTCAGAAGTGCCATTTTTTTTTTCTTTTTTCTAAACGGTTATAATCAGATACCATAACAAGTATAAGAAATAGAATTAAATATTGCTCTATAATTATTACTGAACAATATGCAAGTTGCTTGTCTCTTGGGACGTTTATTTCAAGACGGAAATGATTTACGTCTTCTCGTAATAATTTCATGGGATTTTTATACTTTTTCTTCTCTCGGGACGTTTATTTCTAGACGAAAATGATTTAAGTCTTCTCATAATAATTATATGGGATTTTTATTTTTTTCGTCTCTCGGGACGTTTATTTCAAGACGAATATGAATTCGAGAAAAAACGTTTTAAACATTTGGATTGTAATGGTAACCTTATGGGGAGACCAAAATATGTTTATTTATAACTTTTTAAATAGCCTAGCTGGCGAGAAGGAGATTTCACTTACACATGGAATATATGATTTGTGTTTAATTTCGTGAAATCGGCAGTACACGTACTATTCTATTAAGAGAAAACGCGAGACGTAAACCATTGTCGTCTTGAAATAAACGTCAAGGGAGGGGAGAAAAATAAAAGTCACATATAATTATTATGAAAAGACGTAAATCATTTCCGTCTTGAAATAAACGTCCCGCGAGATGAAAAAAGATAAAAGTCCCACATAATTATTCCCGAGAGACGAGAAGAATAAAAATCCCATATAATTATTATGAAAAGACGTAAATAATTTCCATCTGAAAATAATCGTCCCGCGAGACGAAAAAAGATATTTCTCGTAAATAATTATTATACAAAGACGAAAAAAGTTTCTCATAAAACAAGGCGACGTTTGTGATCTCAAATATTAGGATAATAATTATTTTGGGTCTCTGGTTATAATGTCAGCAGCAAGGCGAATCTACACAAAGTGGTGTTATCGGATCCGCTGAATTCACGGCGAATTTGTACCTTTTGTCAAAATGATGTGTTTGTTGTAAAATGTGCGTATAATTTGTTGTTGTAATTTCTGTTTTTGTTCTGTCAACATCACCTTGTATAAACTCGCCTTGGCCAGCAGTGCATAATTGCGAAAGGAGGGGAGGGGAGGGGGACGCGAGCGCGGGCGGCCCGCGAACGTGGGTCGCCGAGATGCTGGCCACTTTCAAAATTGTATACTAACAAATCTATTTAACTTGTTCATGTACTACTTTTTGTCAAATGTAACTGGGTGATTACCTACATATGTATGTATGTCCACTATTTTGCTTTATTACTCAATTGTCAAGTTTAAAAGTTGGCCTTATTGCTCAACGAGAAATGAAATAAAGCAAATTTGTCTTATTTCACATTCAATTGGGAAATAACATACATTTGGGTTATTGCCGTTTGTGCTATTTTACCCCTCACGGCGGAACAGTATTAATTTGTAACTGATTAGATGATTTTTTATATTGCCTATATTTTACGTTAGCATAATCATTTCATCAGATGGCATTAGCATGGTTATTATCAGTAAGCCAAGTTCTTTCGGATTTGTGTTGGTTTATACAACCAAAATTGGGGTTGCTTTCATTATTTTCAAATCAATCCACGTATGATGAAGAAAAAATTAATCTCTTATGGCTGTAAACATGATCAATCTACGTATGATTATGCTTGAAATAATTGTGATTCATGCATTTGTTATCACAAATAATTTTGTATCAGTAGAATGCGTCAATGCGCAGCGATAAACAACATCCGTCACTTCGTATTATTACTCATAATATTAACGCTTATGTACGTATAAGGTTCAAGTGAACTGCATGTCTCATATAAATTTTATAGGCTCTGTAACCGTAGTTTGTTAGGAAGTGATATATTGATATAGGAAAGAAACTTACATTTCGCAGAATTAATTTACCTACAAAACATAGTATATAAACCATCCAAATTCTTATAATTGACTGCGTGCAAGTACCTTGGTGCGTTTATATGATTGTGTACATATATCTCAGTTAATGCACAGTTGATTTTAATCTTTGGTATAACAAGTTAAAATGTTTTATTTTGCAGTGTACACAAAGATTTCACCGAAATATGAAACATAAAATCAGTAAATATAAACAAAACCACAAAATAACTACAAAAAATCAGCATCTCAAACCATATCAAATTTATATGCACAATCGGAGAATAAGCTCAAAGCGATCATCGTGGCTTATTCTTTGAAAAAGCAACATGTCACATTTACCAAACCCGCTATTTGGTTTCGCAATTTGTCTACTTGTGTTCTGGTGTGGAACTTGGTGTGTTCATCTTTTGGCCATTTGCTACGGGTAAGCATTGCTTTATTTGCATTTTATACTTATATATAGTATGTATGTATATGTACATACAGTGGGGAGCAAAAATATAAAAATGGTAATTTTTTTTTAATATTAAAATTGTTTCATATTAAAACATTTTCGTTTATATTTTGTTAAAATATTGTCGATGCTATAGCTAAAATATAATTAATCAAAGTTTTAAACCAAAGAAAAAAATTAGGACAATTCTTCAAATTTTCATAAAGTTTAAAGACTAGAAAGTCGCGTTGATTTTTAATTTTTGCTTATGGTCTTTTGTTGTTTTTTACATATAATAAATGCATATTATGAAAATCTAAGCAGAGTTAGTGTAATTTTGTTTGCAAATGATCTTGCGCCTTTATTCCATAAAATTTGTATATTTACATCAAAAACCCAACAAAGACTATCAGCAAACGACAATTTTTAAAAATCAAAGCATTCTTCAAGCTTGCACTTTATTATACTAAAATTTCTTGGGTTATAAAACTGCATACTCAGAAGTGTTTTACAAATTCATATTAAAAAGATGAAAAATTTAAAACTTTGATTAACTGTCATGCGCTCGGGATTGAAAACTCGTCTAGATGGTCGGAAGTCTATATTTCGTCGCTGGAATAATGAAATAGTGTTGCATGAAAAGTATAGTTTTGAGAAAAACGAATTGGGAGTATGTATAAACCAATCGATCGACTTTAAACTTTAATTGTGCGCTTCTTATTCAAAATATTCGCATTTTAAATACACCACACAAAAAATTATGTATCATATTGCCTTAGAAATACCATTTGAGCTGAGCCTATTTTTCTGAAAGCATCTGCTTATACACTATTTTATCCTTGAACATTTTTATATGAAATCATTATACACTATCTTATTTGCACGCGATACACCATTTTATTTCTGATTTTACAGTGTTTGTGTGTGATAATTTTAATTTAAAGTGAAGACAGGACAATAAAACAGCGTTAACGACCATAAGTATGTTATGGTCGAGGAATGAATAAACATATTAGATGCGCGCAGTTCGTATTACTAATAATTTATTATAAGTATGATTGATCCTTATTCAAATTAAAAAGATGGGGCATTCAGATGTGTAATGAGGCTTTCTTTTTTCGAAAAGGGTTGCCGCCTTTACGAAAAATTATAAGATGCGATCTGATCGTTGGACTAAAAAGTGAGTTGTCAAATGAAAGGACTTGGCCTCCAGATGTGCAGTAAGCGCTGTCTAATAAATTATAATGTCCGTTGGTTGCATTAAAAATGTTATATATCAAATGAAAGTGCTTGGCCATTACGTATGCAATTGGGCTTTGTTTCTTTGAAAAGGGCTGTCACGTGTTTTCTCCAAACGCGTATATGTGCATACTTATGTACAGATTCAGCACGTGCGAAGCCTCGGGAAGACAAAAATATGCAAATGCATATCGCATATGGGCATTCCCATGGTGGCGCACGTGACAGTCGTACGATTTCAATGTGATACACAAAAGGAATACCATTTGTTTTCTTTAACTTTTTTGGGCCATTGTATAGCACATAATTAGCTCTATATTTAACCGAAAAATGAAATCAATCGAACTGCTTGGTCCTGAAATATAAGCATTTAAAGAGAGTGTCGTTACGTGACAAAAAATGGAAGTTGATTTTTTCTTTTCTTACAAAATCGCAAAACTCTGCGAATTGTGGATGGCTATTTTCATGAAACTTATTTTAATATGATTTGGAGCAATTCTAGTTGTTTTTAGAGTTTTTTGAATTAATGCAAATTGTTTCAATTTTCCTTTACAGCCCCAAGTGTGAAACGTGACGTGACGTGGCGTCACGTGACATAAATTTCCATCGTTATGTTTTTGTTAATATTGCTTTTAAATGAATTTTCAACGCAAATAAAACATGTATTTTATGTAGAATATACTTTATATTTTGACTTCAGCGCCAATTCAGGGTCAATTTATTAGAAATCTATGATGTATTATGTTTCAACCACATACGCCAAATTCGAACCAAATCGGACCATAAATACGGTTTTTCGAAATATCTCGACCTTGGCACCACCTAGGAAGACCATTTTATGCAAAAATGATTCTACTTACATAGCCAGTACATATTTTAAAAAGCAGACAAATCGGCCCGTAAATACGTTAGATATAAAACTTATTTTTTTGTCGTGGTGTACCTTCCGCTGGAAACACACATATGCAAATGAATATTATGACACAAAATGCATATTTTGGCGAAAAAGCATAAAAATGCATAAAACGATTATTCTGGTAATAAGTTAATTAATTTTCTCATAATTTCATCTGACAATACCAGATAGCCAGGGTTACTGACGATGTTTGTTTGATTGACAAGAGGAAAAGCTGACAAACAACGGAGAGTCCCGTTATTTTCTAATAAACAATTTTAGTATACTCTTAAAAATATTTCGATGCGTATTTTTAGTGAAGTTTCGCGCTTAACCAGTTTTTGTGGTTGAAAAATTCAATCAAAATTTTTCGTTTTTTAGCGGAAGCTAGTTAACAGTTTCCAGGGGCTGCAACTGAGAGTTTTCAACTATACCTACACTGAAAATTGTATGCACTCTTCATTTTGTGATTAAAGAAGTATGAGAATGAGTTTTAACTGTCAAAATTGTGTACACTTCGCTTCCGAAAAACTCACTGAACTCACAGCAAGTAGCGATGCAGCCACTATTACAGAAGCGCTTAAGGTATTAAACTTTAATGCAAATCAGTAGACAGCGAGGCGACGAATTGCCAAATTGGCGTAATGGCATCTTAAATGAAGAAAAAAGCTAATTTGACCAAAATATATGTGCGAGAGTGGTAGCATTTTGCTGTGTCGCCCGAAAACCGAACCGTTGCCTATTGGGATATGTTAGGCCTTTCAGAATGCAATAAAAAACATATTTTTAAGTTTCAATTGAAGGTTATTTGGTCTGACAAGACTCAATTAATTGCTTTCAATCAGATGGCCGGGCATGGTATTGGATTAAAGACCCAAATTAAGCCATGCGCAACATGTGAGGCAAACTGTGAATCACAATGGTCGGTCAATAATAGTTTGGGGTTGTATTTAAACAATTTTGTGGGTCCGTTAGTACGCATTATGCGTAAGGAACAGTATCTGTTCATATTTCAACAAAATTTGCAAGATGTAGTCGAAAAATGAGAGTTTCTGCTGAAAAATCACCCAAAAAATACTGCATATGTTCGCAAAGACTGGATACAAAATAAAAAAATTGCTAATTTGATACGACCTTCACAATCCGCGGACATAAATCTCATCGAGAATTTGCGAAATCAACTAGAAGCACAGCTTATTAAGTATCCAAGTCCGTATAATCGAGTACATGAGCTGTGAAAGCAAACTAAGGATATATGGAGGATATACCTCCAGAAGTTTTACAGAGATAAAAATAAGGTATGCCAAATCGCACCCAGAAACTAAAACAAGCTAAAGGGTACTGAACATTGTGTTAGTAGTTCTTTTTTCTCGTTAAAATTGTTAAAAAGTTTTAAAAAATATATGAGTGCAAAACTGTAACATCTGCCTTAATTTTCATATTTGTCTGCTGGTTTTATTATTGTTGTTGGATTGACTTCAAATCATTATGAGAGGGGAAACACAGGTGTACCAATATTAACATACAGCAAAAGTATGAAAGTCGTTAGAACTTGGAAACATAGCGATGACTGAAGGAAAAAGTGCTACACCATGTTACAGTTTTGCCCGTCACTGTATGTATGCAAGGTGTATTAAACAAGGTGTGATTGACAGCTCAGGTCGGCTCTCTTTTTAACCGACTTCCAAAAAAAGAGGAGGTTATCAGTTCGTCGGAATCTTTTTTTTTTTTGTTTTTTTTTATTTATTTTTTTTTTATGTATGTTACCGCATAACTTTGGACCACGTCAACCGATTTCGATAACTCTTTTTGCATCGGAAAGGTAGTGTCTCAGAGGTGGTCCCATACTAATCTGGTTAAGATCCGATCAGCGGATCATGAGATATATATATATATTTTTTTTTTATATGGGAGTTGAAGTCGGTTTTTTTTTTGCTAAAAATTACTAGTAAAATACTATTATAATATAGACAAACGATTCAAAATTCATAAAATTGTTTGTAATTTGACTTTAGGATAGGATGGTTCACGGTGTAATAAAAACAAGGTGTTGTCAGTAACTTAACCTCACTTTTTCGGCAGGCCTATTCCGGTCACGCATTTTAAAGTAGTAGAAAAAGTACTAATTATTTAGTACTTTTAATCCGTTCGTGCATACTATTTCAAATTAAATGTAGAAAAATATTTAATTACAGACTTATAAGACTGCATATATGTTTGTATCGTCAGCTCCACACAGGTTGGACATATATTGTAACTTATAAAAAAGTACAGGCCGTAAAATAAGGCAATTTCCTATAAAACTGTAAATGATATTTTAAATAGATTAATAATAATAATAATAATAATAACCCACACACCCACTAAGAGCCGACACAGTGTTCGTCGAGGAGCAAGCCGAGGCACCACTGTTTTCGACAGACGAGCTGAAGCTAGCCCTGCGAAGCATGAAAGCCGGCAAGGCTCCAGGCCCAGATGGTAAACCAGCGGAGGCAATCAGGTTAGCAGCGGAAACGAGCCCTGATCTTCTGCTTAACATGTACAACAGCTGCCTTAGGGCCCGGGTCTTCCCAAGCCAATGGAAGAAGGCGAGACTGGTGCTTATACCCAAGGGCAAAGGGGACCCAAACTCTCCTTCATCCTTCCGGCCACTCTGCATGCTAAACACAGCAGGCAAAATGATGGAGAGTCTGCTCAAATTACGCTTGACGTCAGCCATAGAAAGCGAGGGAGGCCTTTCACCCCGACAACATGGCTTCAGGAAGGGACACTCAACTATAGGAGCAATTGGCGAAGTAGTCGAGGCGGTACATAAGGCCGAAGAAGCCTGCCACCAGGCGCGGCCAATAGTGCTGCT